ATAAAAAAAGCTCAGTATTTAGCATTAGAAAAATTTCTAATTATTGTTTTGAAACTGCATCTGAAAAGAAATCGGAAGTATTTTTCATAAGAGAAATCACTCATTTACATTAGCACCGTGCAATTGGTCCAACTGAGATTCCTGACAGTAATCACTCCACAGCTGAGTGGAAATGGTTATAATCCCAGGAACTTGATATAAATGATAAAGGCTTCAAGTAATGTTTTTGTTGGAAACAGAAATGCATGAATGGCAAACCTTGAATGGATGATGGGCTTTTGAAATACAGACGTGGAAAGAAGCAACAATAAAAGGACCATCCCTTAAAAATTATGAGCAAACTTCTCCTAACCCTCAATGGGAAGCTGCTGATGAAATATTTAGTGGCTCATATGAATTTTTTTCATATCCAAAGTCTAATGATGGATCTTTCATATGTGATTTTAAAACCTTGACTTATGACAGATTCTGAATAATCAATGAGGTAACCATAGAAATCTCTAAAATTAAGACCACTTACCAATATACATACTTACTTTGGCTATCTTAGAATAACATAATGAACACAGTAAATGGTATATCTTGTCTTGACTACAAAGTCCTGATGGTTCTTCCTACCAGGGAAGTTTAACTTTACTATATGAGGTTCATCAAACACACTGTTAATTACTCACTCCTGGTATTTCTTTCCATTTTCTTTATGCACCCAATTCACGGTTTCAGATATTCGGTGAGTGGCTTGATATGTAGTTAAAGGCTTGCAAGCTTTATTGTTAAGGAGTAAACCCTTTTGTGGTATTTTGACTACTAAATATGTGTATGAATAAGTTCACGAGTTTACATGAGTGCTATAGGACAACCATCCTAAATGGAAGATTATGCTTTCTAAAAGCCCTATATATAGTAGTATATTTCTGGAATTTTTTTACTTCTTGAATCCCAGCTAGGATCTTATTTTTAGCTTTAAATATAGTTGTCTAAATACACAATGCTTAAAAACAAGAAACAACGCTTTTGCAGGATTTCAGGCATTGGACACACATTTAACACCGTGTTAAGCAACATTCACTTCAGCTGCCTCCTGATTGACTGAGAATTGTCAGGCCTAGTGCAGAAAGAGGGCAGAAGGGATCTTCATCATCTTCCTGGGAGCAAAGTGTGGGATTGTTCAGTAGGAACACAGTGGGCACTGAGGAATGAATGGGGTTATCAGCTACAGCAGAGCATGGGAAAGCCTCAAAAAGGCACAGCTGTTTCCAGGAAATAGTCAGCTTTGGAGACTGATGGAGGATTGCCCTCATATTGCCGGAAAATATACTAAGAGCAAGCAAGCAGGAAGTTGGTGACCTGGGGAGCATAGTGGAGGACAATATGGATGAATGAAGTGTCCTCAGTGATTGGAGAAAAAGTAGGAGGGAATTCAGAGTAGTGGGGGGATCTGAGGATTACTGGAGTCAGGAGTGGGGAAAGAGACTAGAGCTGGAGAAGGAAAGCGACTTGCCAAGGGAAAGAAATAGTGGGTGCACCATGGGGGCATCACCAGAACCACAAGAAACATTACCAGCATTAACTGGAAACAGATTGCATAGCCAGCATCCAAATAGTTTGGTTGGTAGAGGTATAAACTGACATCTAATGTACAATCTAGATAAATTGTTCCCTGATATAATGACACAGTTGAGATGTTTACTGAAGACCTTCAAAAGGAGGTAAATGCAAAATGGGGGTGGGGTGGGAGGCTGAACTGGATATATTGAGATTGTAAATTTTAAACTGCCTTGAACTGACCCCTGAGGATTATAGAAAGAAATTTCAGGTCTCAGAAAATGAGTGTTGAGATTTATGTTACATTTGCAAATCCATTAAAAGAATACATAAAAGAGGTAGATGGGAGTGCAGTTTCCACAATAGAGGGAACTTTAGAATCAGTGCTTATGGAACAATTTTCCAAACAGTAGACTTCGTATTTGAGAGTACCAACCGGTGATAAGCACCCAAAAACATGGCTCTAAAGTCTTAGATCCTGCAGTGCTTACTCCGGCAAAACTCTGACTGCAAGACTGGGGCTCATGTGATTAATGCTGGAGATTGCCACCAGAAGTATCTGGAGGACATGTACAAAGGTGTGAATAAACCCTGCTTAAAATTGTCTACCCAAAAATGAATGGTGATGAGAAGAACTCTAAAGCCTTTAAAGTAATATTACAGTTGTAAAGGTATTTTAAGACTTCACATTGTGATAGCACATATCTACTCACTGTGTGTATTTTCCCGTTTTTTTTTCCCCAAGTCATCTTAATTTATTAATAAATTTATACTGCAGCCAGCAACTTTGCAAAGCCATTATATGAAACAGCAAAAGATTCTGCTTCTTGCATGATCAGCACAATTACCAGCACCTTTTGTTAATAGTGAAGATGAGAGAAAATGTTTTTTCTCAGCTTGACTTTCAGAGTTCAGAATGAGTTTGCAATGGAGGTGGTTAAAAATATTTTTGACTTCTAAAGAGAGCACATTTAGGATCAGTCATTTGTGGAGAATAAATATGGAACACCCATGTCACTTTCTTACAGTTTCTCATCTGCTTATGACTAGACTTTAAGACAAATGAATACCTTTTTTGGGGAGATTATGAAATGAATGTTTTGAAGATGACAGATTATCTAATAAAGAGGCAGCTTCCACAGCACCAAAGGACTTGGAAATGTAAAGATAATAAAGAAGTACGTTGGCAAACAATGGTTAACAGTCTTTTAGACATTAATATGGTCTTTTGGACATCAGCAGACCTGGCACACTTTAGGAAGATAATCCTCAAACTGCAGACTAGCTAGGGACAAAGGGCACAAACCTCCCAATAAAGGAACAGAAAGGGGACCAATGATTCCCTACATTTGTGCTGCTTTTCTTTGGTAATTGCTCTGCCACATCAACCCCATTGCGAAACAAGCGTGGAGCAGAACCACCATTGACAGAGCCATCTTTCTCATAGAAGGCTAAGATCTGTGGGAATGGGATCATTTCCTATGGAAATTGGCCTAGTCACATCCCCATACTCCCTGTCCATCCCCAGCTCTTTTAGATGTCTAGGGGAGCAGTGCTTTGCCTCCTCTCATGTCACTGACTGGGCTTCCACTAGTCACCTGACCGGATCTCTTCCATGTGTGTGAAAACCATAGGAGTGGTGTTACCTGCACAGCAGTAACATGTTTTTTATGAAACTTTTCATACTTGGGATTTACAGTGCACTAGAGAAATATGGCAGAGAATAGCTGTTCAGACTCCCCACTCCTGTCTACTTGTGACCAATTCTAGGTAGGTGGAACAGAGCTCTTGGGCTGAAGTAGCTGAGTGGCCATGCAGTCTGGTGGATGTCGGAACAGCTGCCTTTTCCATCCACATAACTCCCTGGCTCAAAACCCCTTTCCACTATCATTGATTCTCCTCTTCATTGTGCAGTGGAGGGGGGAGAGGGTCCACCAGAGAGCTTATGGAAATTTCTGCTCTTTTTCTGTAAAGCTGGTGAGTTTCTGCATGTTCCCTATTTGATACTCCCTTCACAGTTCACCCCCTCCCACTTGGAATTTGCAAGCTCCTGGAACCGAGTCTTTAGGAGTCCTACCCTATGGAGTACAACAATAAGGACTACTAGAGTCTTTTGACACCATTTCCCAGCATGGTCGTGTAACCTACATTGAGGGGAGGAAGTCAATTTACTTACCAATTCTGTAGCACAGAATTCTTCTATCTGACCTAAACTATTTGCACAGTCCATGAGTTCATATCATTCAGAGAGACTACAGCTTGATTTCCTATAGGAATCCAGTACCAGTCTTTACCATGAGATGGTGTCTGTCTGTGTGTTTCTCTCTCTCTCTCTCTCTCTCACACACACACACACAGCAGTTTCCAGTTTATTTTTACTGAATAACACTCCAAAAACAAACTGTTCCAGCACAGCAGTTGCAGTGCACCCTACCTAGACTAACTAACATCACGAACAAGAGATTTAATATTTTCCTTTAAAATGAAAAAGAATATAATACAGGGCCTAAACCCTAATATATATATCTATATAAACCTCATAATAAGTATAGGGCTTTGGACATCTGACAATCAGAGATCATCTGCTTTCACATAGGTTCACCCTCGGTATTATATTGATAATTAAATAAACCATTTGGTTGTACAACATAACCAATTGTTTCAGCATCCACAATATTGAGCACATACACAACTTTAAATAAGAAAAAGCTGACAATTACTGTAGCTGTTAGGCACAGATGGCATCTTTGGTTCAATGATGAAATAACTCATGAAGACATTTGGCCTCCAGCCTGATTCCTCCTTTATGGTGTTTTCCTAGTCTCAACCCCACTGATTTATATAAAATTACAGGAAAATGTACTGAGATCCAGCCCACAGATTCCCCGTGCAAGTTCTATCTTCTCCCTGCAGGGCTGGGCTGGATCTGATCAGTGCTCAACATGGCTGCCAGTTTTGCAACCCTGATAGAACTCACTATTGATTGGCAGGAGCTTTCAGCTTCTAACTAAGGGTAGGGGACGTGTGTATGTGCAGGCATGTCTGACCTTAATGAAGCTTTGCACACCAGCTTCAAAACAGCCGTGGAGCATCGTTATCAACATCCTGCATTCCCTATAGCGTGCTAAAATAGCAACTACTTGTTTGCAATCACTCAAGCCTCTATACTGCCATCTTGTCTGGGAATGTTTCCATATCAACTCAGAGCAAGTAGAAACAGCAGCTGTAATTACAGCAATAAGGTTTTTGGCTGAACACCAGAGGGGGGAAAAAAAAGTCAAGGGGGGTGGATTGGGGTGGGGACCGAACAGAATAGAAACTCCTGCTGAGGAGAATAAGGAGGCTTCTGCCTGGGATGATTGGGACAAGCAGATTGCTGGGCCAATGATGAGCCAGGGCTGCTCAGCCTCTCAATGGGAGGAGACAGAGTGAGTCAGAACCACAGAGATTAGTTTTAGTTTCAGTGTTGAGCTTTGAATTTGGGAGCTGAATGAGAAACAGAACAGTCTTGAACACTATGGCATCTGGTGCATTGGTCAGGCAGTTCCAGGGCCTGCAGAGACCAATGTCCTGAGTTGCAAAGATTTGACCTGGTGCGGGCTACTTAAAGCCAACTGAGGCCTCCCCGGGATTCCAGACCAGGAAGCCAGGAGAGAACCCTACCTGGGGTGAAGACACTGTAAGGGGAGGCCTTTTTTCGTTTAAGCCAGCCAATGTTCAAACTGCTGAAGTACTCCTCTCCAGACTATCCTGTGTTCTAGCTGTCTGGGGTGGTGCCAGGGAGGGAGCTGGGAGTTGGGAAGAGTTGAGAATCTTGGGAGATGGGAACTTTCTTGATCTTTTAGTACTTATTAGTTAACCTTAATTGCTTCCTTCCCCAGACCAGATTTTCCTGCTTCCAATAAGGTCTCCCTTTGTCCTATGACTCACCCCGAAACAACAATTTCTTTGCCAGGATTTCATGTTGATGTATTTTGTTTCTTGTGTTGTATTCTATACTCCTTGCCAGTAAAGAAATCAGTATTCATTTTCCAAAGGGGCAGCACCTGTGTGTCTCAAGCACAGTGAGGTGTTTTCTTGGGTGGAGACACGAGCCATCACTAAAAAGAACCCAGACCAAACCCATGTGAGAAGGGAGAAGCTGCTCTAAGTAGCAAGCACCAGAGAGCAGCTTCAGCCACACCTCAGGGGGTGGGCTGCACTATTCTTGGTCAGTTTCACAAGTTTCCACCCTTTAAAACCAGGGGCACACAACTATGGGCACCCAAAACCACATTATTAAGTGGAGATATGAAAGCTTTGAATTTACTGTAAATGTATTCAGCCACTCCCCCCACTACATTCTCTTGTTGAACAGGCAGAAGGAGATTCTATGCTGATTTTTTTTTTTCTGCTTCAAGGACTATGGGAACCCTCTTACCTCAGGACTTATTTAGAGCAGTGAACTAGAGAAGGCTGTTTTTCATGTGTTTATACATTCTTCCAAAAGCTTGTCTGAGGTTGTGAGGCATGTCCAGGGAGGTTGACATCCCAGAGTAGTGGGGTGAACTGATGAAGTTGTGCACTTTAGCATGGAGACCAGCCCTTGTATGGCCAGCACGAAAGAATCAGGTGGCTGAAAATCTGAAGCTTGTTCTTCATTTTTCTTTGATGTACTCCGCTACAGCAACTGAACTGAGGGAAACTGTGAAAGCTGCATCATGAGTGAAGTGGAGAGTACCTGAACTATACAGAAAATCTATCAAACCCCAGGGTTAGCTAAAAGCTTCCTGAACAAGTCAGACAATAATGGGTCAGACAGATTTCTGCAGCAAAGCAGGCTTGACTAACGTGAGGTGCTGCTTTTGTCTTCTACACAAAGGAAATTGATGGTTTTTGACATGTGAAATAAAAGGACAGAGGATGACCTAAGTCAGTTAGAGCATTCAGTATGTGTCTAAGCAAAAAAAAAAAAAAAGGGGGGAAAGAATGCAATCATACAGGTTCAGCAAGGGAGCATAAGGCATTTTGTCTGATAAAATTTGATGTACTAGAAATTTGGCTTGTTGCCCTGCAAACAAAGAAACAAGTAAATAGATAGTGGCTTGTGTTTAAGTACAGGCAGTGTCTATCAAACTAGCTCAAATACTAATTATAGTATGTCAAAGGCTTTTGATTGATCAGAACCACAAAAGTGACAATACTAATGTCACTATCAAATGCATGGCACCTGGGCGAAATCGGACAGGCTTTCCACAGCAAAGCTAATGGAACTGACTGCAGACAGCAATGATAATGGCCGTGCAGAGATTGCTATTATTACGGATTTAGTCATTGGTAGCAAGCACTTGCTATATAGGATAGAGCTGTTATTTTCTCCAATATAATAAGTGCCAGTGTATGTAATTGTTGCTGAGGAGTACAGTTAATAGTAGCTCATTATTAATATAACAAATGGTGGAATTTTTGAATGACTGAGCAATCACTCAGTGGCCAGATTATTATTTTCTAGATGAAGAGGACCCCTTAAAATGTTTGCTAAGATAGAAGCACAAGAACTGTTTGTTTGATTTTATTTTTTAAAAGTTAATAAACATTCCAGATAAATCAAGTGAATGGGATCTGGAATTGCACATAAAGGATAAGATTATGCATTTTATTTGCTCTTTCTTTCTAAAACATCCCATCAGGCAAATCTTTGATAGTTTACTCTCCAAAATAAGATTCTGTGGCTATCATAAAAGCAGCAGACTGGCCACCCTTGGGTACAAAATACTCCGTGTAATAATTCAGGCAGGCTTTTAGCGTATTGTTCAGATACTGACATTTATTTATGTATGCTAATTTAAGAGTGAAGACTGTAATCTTCCCCATCACCGCTTAAGAAATGCCACTCGTCCTCCTGACAGGACTCTTTTCTGCCACTCTGGACACCTTATGCTTGAAGGAGCAGCATGTGCATGAACATTATATACAGTGTGAAAAGCCCTTGTTAAAAATCTTCTGGATGATACCTTCCTGTTAACATTGATTGTTTCTTAGCCTCTGAAATGTACTGGTTAGTTTTTCTAAAACCTGACAATATTCTTTAAATTCTGGGGATGTTAATATTTTACCAGAGCAGAATGTGACTGAAGGAAAATATACCATCTAAGTAGAGAACCATTTTTGCATATTACTGAATATAAAGGTGACTTGTCCAAATACTCTATGGAGTGTTCCCGTCTTATACTTTACAGTAAATGTATCATTATAAAGAGTGCAATAAAGTCAGGATGCTAAAATCTGTTTGGTTATAGAAAGTATAGGTGACTAGGTACCACAGCTAGGCATCAACTTCATATGATCTAACCAGTATTACTAAGATACAAAATTATTGTTGGAGACAAATGAATTACAGCCTTCCAAAACCACAAACTATACCCATTCCCTATCTGTCTCAGACCATTCACTCCCTCGGGGGAGCATCAGATTTCAGCCCCTACACCAGCATGGGATCCAAAGACAAATTTTGTGTGACCTTTACATGCCTGTACAAGGCTGGAATTGGGGTTTTACCCCTCTCACTTCCTGGTGTGGCTCTATTGGGGTTAGTTACAATGTAGGCCTAAGAGCCCCCAACCCCTTAACTCCAGATCCCCGTTTGAAACAATCACAAAACTGTCAGTGTCCTGGCTTCCTCATCCCTATTAGCAGAGAAACAGAAAAACCTCGGACTGTATAAATGTGATAGTGCTATCAAAATGTGCAAGACTAATCACACTGACAAATCTCACAGTGCAGGAAGCATGTGGACAGCAACTTCTTTCTTTTTGTGCGGAATTCAACTGAATGCAATGGAGTTCTTTAACACTGCATTTGTATTTATTCTCTTGGAGAAAAACTAATTATTATACAATTCTGTATATGACCATACAGAACTAAAAGAAGGGCAGATATAAATAGTTGTGTGTGTAAGAGAGAGAGATCCAGTGCAGAGTCCTATTGCTCCAGAGAGAGAACTGGGAGGCAGACTGGCCTTGTGGAAGAGCAATGCATCTCATGCACACTGACATGCTCCTCTGTTGAATCCAGCATACACCCCATGTCTCACTCAACTTTTGTGTCGCCTTTAGAATACTGTCCCCCCACCCGCAGGAGAAGAGTGAGGGAGCTGTCCTTGTGCTCAGAGTAGAGCAGGGACTGCAATTCTTCCATTACACAAGCTGAATACACACCCACACCACAAATGCAGAGATGATATTCATGTGATAAATTGATGTGTGTTGAACCTTTGACCTCTTCATCTGCCCTATAAGCCCTATGACATTTCCCTGGGACTTTAAACCCCTTTGAGTAGCCATAGGCCATTTTCTTTCTATTCATTTTCCCCACAAATATTGATTTTTTTTCCCACAATGACAACTTCACCTATGGTCCAGACCAGATAATATTCAGTGTACAACTGAGAAGAATTTCTGTATGCGTAAATGTCACAGCTTTAAAGCCCGTGTCTCGTAACCCTGTAGAACTTTATACAATTGGAAAAGGGAGTTTCTCAATGGTTCTAGTCCAAGCTATTGAACTTTGAATTCATGGCATTTTTAGGTATGAAATACAAATTTTAGGCCAGTTTTAGAGATTTTTACAGCTCCCGCTAAGCTCTCTGGAGTTGAACTGCTAGTAATTATTTGACTTTGTCTTTACGGATTTAAAAATATGAGAGATTGTCCCAATAACTTTTTTTTAAATCTCTACAATATTCTTAGTGGGTTTTATTCTGTAATGTATGTGGAATGTATAGAATACACGACGGTAAGGTGTGTAAGGTTTCATCAGCTGTCATTTAAAAAGCCTGTACAGTTCATGAAGGCACCCTCTGAGTATGATACAAAAAGGGTCTCTACACTGGCTCTCCTAGTGCTATTGCAGAAATACATGATGGGACAGGCCTGTGTCACAGGATCTACACTTCTATACCTCTGAAATCTAAAGAATGTCATCCTGTGCTGTGCCAGTGATTTAAATGATCCCTGGTAAAATCCTCTCCCAAACACATTTTTCCCAGGGCTAAAATATTCAAGGAGAGTAGTATTTTTTTTTTTTTTAAACATTCTCTGAAGAAATCCCAATGTCATTGGGAAGTTGAATCAACAGATGTCATACTGAGAACATTGTACTGACAGTATGCAATTACCAAGGAAACTTGGCATGCTGATTCTAGAAACTCTTGGAGAGAATGGAAAGACTGTCTTGGCTAAGACTCAGTCTTGGATCAATCTTTGCAGGGATTAGAAACCGAAGTCCTAAATCCTATTAGTGAATAGATGGAAAAGCTCAGTGTTGTACCCAGCATAAAAAAATTCAGTTGTCTTACCCAATGTGAAAATCAGGTCAAGCTGGCTGTGTGAATGTATAGGCTACCATGTGGAGGTATCTACAAACCTGTAGACTAAGAATGGGGATAAAATAAGGAAATAATACCCAATTTTAGGTAATTGTATTATTCCTGTATTTTTCCTCAAATATTGGATTTTTAAAATAAGTTATTGTGCTTGCCCTTTCCAACCCATTCCAAGTGTCCTTGTTCACTTACTTATATGTATCTCATTGTGCCCCTTCTTCTAGCACTAGTGTTCTGTTGTGACAATAGTGTTACTCTTCTGTTGAGCAGTAGCAGGTGTCCAGGGCGTTGGAGGTTAGAATTCCAGGGGAGGAGAA